TTTTTGTCCTTCCGTCTCTTAGAGGTTACTTCGAGCAACTAATCGATAAAACTCTCTAGTATAATCTTCTACTTTTTTTTCATTCTGTAGAAGATTTTGGAGTTCTTGAAAGAAAATTTGCTCATGAAATATAATCTTTCAATTTCTTTTTCATCCTTTGCCAGTCAATGATTTTTCCTTTCGGGATTGTTAAACTTTTGCTCGCACCAGGCCGCAGCCCACCCGCGGAGCTTGGTAGCAACAAGTTTAACCTTACGTTCCTTTGGCAGTTCACTTCATTCAAAATAATTCTCAACTGCACTTAACCAATCAATAAAACCTTCGATCTTAATACCTAAATCTCGTGGCCGCTCTATAGGATGTGGTCAACACCCTGGGTTTGTCGTGGGACTACTGATGCAAGATCTATGTGGTTGCGAACACCTTCTTCACGAGGAACATTGTTCTCCAACCGTTGCAACCTCTGATCCAACGGTTGCATCCCTGTTATTCACGAGGAACATTGTTCTCCAACCGCTGCAACCTCTGATTCATCTCACGTACTTCAGTTCGAACATCCTCTAGGGCTGTAGTCAAATTTTCTATAGCTTGTCCCCAAAGATCATCCATAACAGGAGTAGGATTAGCTTGATCAGCTTTTGACGGCATTGTAAAACAAACAGGATCTATGGCTCTTACTCCTCTCTGTAGATCTAACTTGCTCTGATACCAATTGATGCAGAAAGAAAATAATACGAGAATAATAACAAGAGAACAAACGAAAAGATTGAGAGAATATACCCACTCTCAAGGTTTGCAAGGGAATCCACACAAAAAATAATCTCTTCACGAGACCAAATTTTACTGAACTCACTTACTGCTTTACAATGAAGATAGACTTAAAAAAAAGAAGATAAACAATAACTAAAAAAACCTCTCTCTGCAAGGACTTTCTTATTTTATCTCTCCTCCCCTCCCTATTTTCTCTCTTATCGCTATTTTCTCTCTCTTAACCTCACGTACCAAAGAGATTTGCTTCTAAATAGATAGCCCGTGTTTTATCCAAAGCCTCCCCCTAGAGGCAAAGCATTGCCTTATTGTTGAACAGACAAACCCCTAGATTTAACCTTATCTTATTTATATTCCTATTTTTTAGAATCTAGCCAACCCAATTGATCAATATCAATTCATGCACAAAATAAACTCATGCTCACCTAATTATCCCTGTGCACCTTCTATTCTTGAAATTAAAAGATAAACTCAAAAATTAATAATAATAATGATAAAAAAATTTCTTCTGCATAAAATCCACTGAAATTCTACTAAAACAAAGTATCCCAAAATTTCGATAATTTAGAAAACTTTTGGTTTAATGTTACCAATGTCAAGCCCTAAATCGTAGTTCATTGGTATCCATGTTGAAATTTTACATAAACAAAACATCTTGAATTTCAGTGAAATAGAAAATTTTGGCGTACTATTCCCAAAGGCGTGCTCCAAACTGAAGCTCAATTCACTGAAACTTTGTCAACATAACAAAATTTTAATGATAAGAAATACGTGGGAAATGAAGTTGTAATCAAATGAAAGGGTTCCAATGATTGTGCTGATGAAAAGCGTTTCAGATGATTGAAAAAAAGGGCTCTAGAAAGGAATTGGGCTTGGGTTAAGACGGTAGCAGTTGGGTTTTCATAGCTCTACGTATCAAGATCCATTCCTACGTAACTTTGTCAAAAAAAAAAATGAAGAAGAAGAGAAGGGCTCTGGAATCCTTCTTATTATTCTCATAATTACACAAACTCTAATTGAAACAGTAACCACTATAATGCCCACCTTTATGTTTGCTCTTCCCTTTCCTTGATGTTGCAACCCTTGGAGAGAGGTTCTTAGATATACAAGCAAAAGATGAGACATGACCTTAAATATACAGAAGTTTGAGACGAATGTTGCTGTCCATAAATTAATTTTGAGATATTTATTTTGAGAGAGTCACAGCTTTGACAACACCCCCGCTCCCCCCCCCCACCCAACCAAAAAAAAAAAACATAAAAACAAAAACATCAATACACAAGTTACTTGTGTTTATATTGATCCCAGAGTCTCATGTCTGCAATTTCTCTTATTTCTTGAGTTTTTTTAATACCCTTGTGATCACGGATCAGAGGTGTTCCATTCTTTGTATTGGATGTAAACAGAACAAGTTGCTTACTAGTGCATGGAACTCTTACTGAACCCTTGTTTTAATGAAAAGCTCTTGGTTATTATGCAATCTTGAGTGAATTTGTTTGCTGATCCATGCATTTTCTTGTCTATTTGTTTGGAGTCATAGCTCTCTCTTCAGGTTTTCCCTTAGTCTTTAGGTTATGAGCTGTTTTATTTAACTAATAGCTGTTAAAAAGAGAGGAAAGTTCTATTGTATTGGGTAAAGAGTTTCTATATTACTGTCAAAGTCATTCTAGTTATGTTGAAATGGTGATATCCAAAATCACCCACAGAAGGAAATCCCATATTAGTGGGATTGGGATGGATATTGATAAGTTTCCTAAAGGAAATAGAAATCCAAAAAGGTTAGGATTTGGAGATGTATCTCTTGCTTCTTGAGATATATGTAACATCTATAGGAAGCTTAATATTTGATGTGGATTCCTAAACTTATATCTATGTGATGCAAGTGTAGAGAATTTGTGTACTCTATTTGGGTCACCATATGGGAAAGGTGACTTCCTCTAGAGAAAGAGAGGCAGGGGCCTCCTGTGCATGAGAGACAAGACCTCCCCTTAGAGAGAAGAGAGCTTCCCATAGAGAGAATCGCCACATATGTGCCTATTGTAGATTGAGAGGCTGGTTTCTTGTAGAGACGCGGTTCCCATAAAGATTTTGGGTGGTTTCCCTTTTTAGTGAGAGAAAGTCTCGGTTGCTTCTAAGGTTCTCCTCCTAGACAGTGGTTTAGCTGTGGAATGGAGATGATCTCTTCCTGAACAATGGTTTAGCTGTGGAATAGAGATGAGAGATCGGGAGTGGTGTCTGTCGGAAGAGCAGGTCTAAAATAGTTTACTCGACTGGGTTTTGTCTTGGATTAGAGAGGTAACTTTCTGTCGCAAAATCTGTGATATAACTTTTATTGATATAGTGGATTTCAGTTTGCTGTGCCCGTGGATGTAGCCTCTTGGGTGAACCACGCAAATCTTTGTATTCTTGTAGTGTGTGTGTTTCATGTTTTATTTCTCGTATTATGGCTCGTGCTTTCGCCTCTTTGTTTCTAGCTGGATAAGTACACGATCTTGGTAGGATCCAACTTTTGGATTCTTGTTTCCGTATCTAAGAGATCCTAACAAGTTAATGGGTAAAGGGGAGAGAGAGAGAGAGAGAGAGAGAGAGAGATGTATTGTAACTTGACAAAGTGTATACTAACTTTGTGGTATACACCACGCACTGTGGTGATTTTATACTGTTATGAACATTATACTTGTTATGAATATTAGTTTATGATATTAAAATTATGCATAATATTTTGTGCCTATATTACAGTTTATTGATACGATGTGTTATACTTTTATTGAAACAGAGTTATATCCTTGGTTCTGAACTGTTTTATTTAACTAATAACTGTTAAGAGAGATGAATGTTCTTTTGCATTGGGTAAAGGGTTTCGATATTACTGTAAAAGCCATTCTAGTTAATGGGTAAAGGGAGAGAGAGAGAGAGAGAGAGAGAGAGAGAGAGAGAGAGAGAGAGAGAGTATAGTAGTAGTACGTAGTAGTAGTAGTAGTACGTACGTACGTAACGTACGTACGTACGACTACTACTACGTAGTGTTAGTTAGTTATTATT